ACAACAAATGAGTATTTCCTGGCAGCAAGCTTGTCCATCCTGCTGCAGATACAGAGTCACTCACATTAAGCCTGGCTCCCATTAAACTATAACCTTACTGTACATTGCAGGCATTGATAATCTGCATTATTTAAAACCACATTAAACTGTAACCTTACCATACATCGCTGGCATCGATACTCTGCATTAATTAAACCCACATTAACTATAATCTTACCGTACATCGCGGGCATCAATACTCTGCATTAATTAAAAGTAATTGGTGTGTTCCTTTATATTGTCGAATAATGAGCCACCAATCAGTGAAATTTGATGTTTAACTTTTATATATTTAAAAAAACCTTTAATTTAAGACCTGTTATTGTGTACATGTGTTTCTGTGTATGTGTGCTTGTGCACATCTGGGTATGTTTTTGTTTGTGTGTTTCTGTATGTGTGTCTATGTGATACACCCTGCACTATGTCAGGTGAGACAATTTGACTTGGAACAATCTGGAACAGTATCAGAAGAAGAAAAAAAAAGTCCAAAACATGGTTCAGTCAGTGTGCTACAATATGTATGCACAAAATAATAAACTTTGAACAGAATTACTGGAACATATTAAGTGAGAAAAAGTAATCAAAAGAGGGAAAAACAGCAGGCGCAGTACAAAACAATCTGTATTTAGATATTTTTAGTTATTTTACTGCTTCATGTATATTCCCGCTGTCACCTCTTACTTGATCTGTGGATAAAATCACCATTTAGTGACTGTTGTCTAACCATAAACCATTTCCCATCAATCGTCTCTCTTTTTGTCACCAGGGGCGGAGCTCAGAATCACAAACCGACCCATACATGTAAGCATTGAGCATTTCGGGCTGTTCGGAATTCAGGAATTCAGCCAAAAACCTGGTCGGTTCAAATTCAGCAGAACTGCAATTCAGCCCAAAACAAATCTCCAATTCTAATCTACAAGTACAGCGAAGGTCATCATGGGAAATAAGGCCAGGCGTATGTTTTAGACTATGGTGGCAGCAATCTGGAATTCAGATGAGCAGAGTGCGTTACGTATTTAATTCCGCTGCTCCCAGTCCCAGGATGTCCCCAGGGAATTCTTCAATCACAATAATTGGGTAAATAAAAACTCCCCGGGCAAACCTTACTGCTCATTCATAAAAGAGACAGAGAACAATGTATGATATGTAATAAAGTCAACATTTTAGCTAGAACCAGTCCTTCACATTTCTATTTTTGGGAATTCATGATATGAGGAACATGCAAGGTGATGTTTCTGTGGCAGGACACCGCCACTAAGTGCCATGCCCACTGAGTATTCCTATGTTATACATTTTGTGTCCCCAATGTGTATTCTTATGATTTTCCTTTGTTGAATGTGTGTTTCCCCTTGTATTTTTACACCATACAATGTTCGGTTTCACCAAACGCCCACCAGGGGCAGCATTCGTACCTCAAACCGCCCTGTGCACCCTGTCTTCGGTTGCCATGTAGGTTGCCGTGTCCTACCCACTCCCAACAGAGCTATAATCACTCCCTACCCCCCCCCACCTGGGAGCTACGAGACTAGGCTTGTGGCTGCCCAGGAGATCGCGCTCTCCAGGTGATACCTGCATGGGGATATCCACTGGAGAGAGGGACGCGTGCCAGCAGAGAATCCCTGGGGCTGTAATGGAAGTCCATTCCGACCAATGGGACCATACTGGGACCATACTGGGTTCGCGCCATTCTTCTGGTTGGTCGGCATGAGTGAGCGCTGATTGGTCGCTGCGGAGCACAGGCGACCAATCAGAGAAGGAGTGCTCATTCAAACAAGGTTTCACGTCCTTTCTAAAAGTATATCCTTGTGTAATGTTGGTATCTCCCAGGGTGGGAGATGGCAATCTGTAACCCAGCCCCCTCCTGTCTGTGATTTTGCTGTGTTGAATGGAGACCCCCTGTGGGGGTCTGTGCATAAAAGAACCGTGTTTGCAATAAATGAGTAAGTGTTTTAACCTCCAAAATGGTGTGCCGTCCTGTTACAGGAGGGAAGGAAGATTTAACCCCTGTATCTGCTGTTCCAGCTTGCAGGGGATGCGATGGGGAAAAGTCTTGGTAAGGACTAAGGGCTTCCAGGGTTGAGTGCCGTCTCTGCCTGGGAGCGCATAGTGCTAAGTCCCCTAACAATGCAAGAGTTCCTGATCGGCTGAAGGAAGGGAACTAACCGGAGGTAACCGGTCGGGTTACCCAGGTGGCCCGTTACAGTTTCTATATTCTAGGACTTTTGAATCTAGATATATTGTTTGATATTCCTGGGGACCGAGCTATGTGTTGGGAATATCAAACGGCGTTCTTTAATGAAGTAGAGGAGAAGAACCGTTTATTTTATTTAACATGGGGATGTTCTTTCTTTTTCAACTGGATTATTTAGGTTTAAAGTATTTTAGAAAAAAATGCACTTCTGGTCAAGATGTACAAATGAAGGACAGATAACCCATAGCAGATAATAAAAAGATTATTAAATAAGGCTGCAGGACCCTCCTGGTTCTGTTTAGCATGTTGAACGTTTGGGTAACTTTTTGATGCAGTAACATAGTAATGTTGTAACGTAGTCATGTAGTAACATAGTAACATAGCAACATAACAATGTAGTAACGTAGTAACATATTACTGTAGTAAGATAGTAATGTAGTAACACCGTAATAAAGTATTGTTGTAACATAGTAATTCAGTAACTATAACATAGCAACTTAGTAATGTTGTGTCACGGATGCTCCCATTCCACAGACTCCTGAACAGGCATGACCGGTGTATAGTCGCCATATGGGCAGTCGGACTCCAGGACAACCCTCCCACATACCTAACCCAATAACGCACTGACACTCGGGTATATGGGAAAATTTGTCCACAGCTTTATTAAACAATCTTAAATAATAATAACAAGAAATTCATTATAACATAATAATAATAATGTTAAGACACCTCCCGTGTCTTTAAGCCAAACCGCCGTTTAGTAAACCTTCCCCGGCTGCAGTACAGTCTCTGTTCGCTTACTCCGTAACCCACGAACCAAATGCAGGGGAAGCGGCAATCTTCCGATCGAAATCCACGAACGGCTCCAAACTCCCGAACGGCAATATACGAACTGCTAGGAACCGTCGAACAATAATATCCCCAAAGCGGCTTTCGTTCCATCCAGCAGTCTCGAAACGTGAAGAAGAAATCCCCCCAATAACGAGACAGAAGCTCCGCATTGAGGGTCAAATAAGATCTGGGTTTACTGTGGGCTACCTGCCCGTATTTATGCAGGTCTCCCACCTGGTGGACACTCCCCTAGGGGACCAAATGGAAGACTTAAATTACAGACAGATAGAAGGACATTTCTGACACACAGTCACATATTTTACCCACAGTGCATTCTGATTCCCTCCCCTCTGTCCTGGAGTTAATTAACAAGTAACTCAATTAACTCCAGGACAAGGACAGTCGCCATCTTAAACATGAAATAATAAAAGACACAAAAATACATAACTACATGAAAACTGAACATTTCCCATTCGTATTACATGTCCCCAGATAGCCTGGGTCTGAGTGCATATTATTGGCGAATAGCGCTCAGATCCCACACACATAGTTCAATCGCCATGGAGTCAAAGTTCTTACAGTCCTTCGGTACACGAATGACTCCATGGGTGGGCTATCTGGGTTAAGTCTTTTGGTGTGTTCTCAATCTCCCGAACGGCCGATGTTCGCATGCTTTCGTGGAGGCAGCCAGGCGTTCCCTTGTTTCAGCGGTGTTCGACAGAAAAAGTGTCCGTTTTCCGTTCCATAGAAATAGAGCCAAACACCGCTGAGCGTTCGCATGATTTAAAATGGCCGCTGCCTCGTGGTCGACATACGAACGACGACCACCCTGAGTTCGGTTTAATTGAGAAGTGTCTGCGGTTAACCACAATGTTATAATGGTGATCACGTCGTTAACCTGCAGCACACTCCTCACTTGGGTGGCCGTTCGTTCGGCGGTTTTGTTCGGGAAAAAGAGTCATTCGAATGGCTGGGCTATAGAAACCAGCCATTCATACGAACGGGGACAAACAGACGAACGGGCAAAAATCCAGCAGACAGATGGTTCTGTCACAAATAATAATAACTTAACAAATAAACATGGGTCATTTCCCCCCCATACTCCGCCCTCGCATCCGAATCCTTCTGTTAATATAAAAGGCAATATAAATAACACATATATATAACATATACCAACATTATTCCAACATACCAACCTAAAGTGCCAAACATAAATTAACCATGGCAGGGCTATACCGGATACCCTTACCCCACCAGGTTCTGAGCCACCGACAGGACTCGAAACCTACCAACCACCAATGACCACAGTTTTTCCATTTCTGTCACGTTCATCCTAGGGAGCCTATTCCTTCTCCTTCAGCTCCCTATCCCGCCGCTGTGAAAAAACGGGATATCCCCTACTAGAAACAATATTCAGGGAGGGAGGGCAGGACAACTCGGTCAGGTAGGAAATTAGAAGTGAGTTCACTTAAAATGGCTGCCTATTTAAATATCCCAACCCACTTACCCATAACTCCATACTTCCTTCCCTCCTCCTATGCCCGCCTCCTAACCCCTGTCAAGGTCCTTTTCTGCTTAGCTGTGCTTTGGTTACATGGGGCTACATAATGGCTTTCCTCCTGCCCACAATCTATGGGCCTACTCACAGACTTTAGAATGATATATGGCGTGTAGGTGTATGTGATGTTAATATGTAGTTGTTGTATAAAACATTGTTATGGTTACCCCCAAGCTAGCTGGAAGCTGGACCTCTTTGACGATCTGGATCCCAGTGTGGAGAGAGAGAGAAGCCACTTCAACTAGACGACCAAAAGGATCCTGTAAATGTAGAACAATCCCACTAGCTATAGTACAGCTAGGATACTCTTTTCCCCACAAAATGAGTCGAGGCTGCGATTTGAAGGTCAAAAAAGAACTGGGTTTAATGGCACACAGGGATCGGTATTTATGCAAAATCTCAGGTCCAGGGACAGCCCCCTCTGGACCTGATGGGATACAGGAATAATACAAGGGATCAACCAATACGAATAAAATGCATCGTTTGAATTTGTTACCGCCCAGCTTGGAGATAATGAACCCAACGGCTATGCCAATACAATTATCTCCAAGTGCCCAAAATACGTTTTTATTACACATCAAAACAGGTTAAAAATATATAACTTCAAAATTTTCAGCTATACTTCGGGACTTCCACCATTCATTCTGTAGCCCAGGTCTGTGTGCAATATTTCACCGAATAGCACCTCAAACCCACGAACCATATGCTTGGTTTCTTCGTTGCAAAGTTCGTTCGCATATTTGGTCCCGAGCTTGAGATGGCGGCCATGTTTTTGAGTGAGTCAATAGGCAGAGGGACCTTGGCATCAAACTTGTGGAACAATTAACGGCCAGAGTTGTGCACGAATCCCCGCTCTCTGGCTGGATGTTTCAGCTGTTCGGGAGACGATTGTAGACCGCCGTGAAGGGGGTACTTAACCTGCGGTTAACCGTAACACTCAACATTCTAATTGAGGCCCCACGACAGGCTGTAGGTGGTCCCCGTTCGTGCCCCTTTCGGTAGTTAGACCATCGGGAGATAAGGCACGAACGAGAATGCCCGGAGGCCGTTAATTAACTTGCAGTTTACCGCAGACCGCAACTCTCTGGGCGATCAAGTGGTAACACACTCCCCTCGCAGGGTGGTCGGTTGTTCGGCTGTTTGAAAGGTGACCGGGGTTAAGTGGCGGCACACGCCAGGGACCGGGTGGTCCGTTATTTGTTTAACGAATTGGTGTAAGTAATCCGTTTGTGAGTTGGGTACAGGATTCAAGTACCGAAGCAATATTATAACAACGAAACAACATAAAGCTTGTCTGTAATGGGTTTGTAACAAACATGTTTATGGTGTAAATTGTATTGTGCAATGTGTCTTGGTGTCTGGCAGTCAAATAAATTATCATGTCTTGACCTAATTATGTCTCAGACACCAAGACACCAGGGAGGGTTTGCATTGTTCTGGCTGAAGACCCCCTGTTGTGTGTAGGGTGATAAATGCATGTAGTTTTCCCTGAAATAACCAGTTCACTTCTTTTACCTAAAATGACTGGTTTTGTCCACTATGTTAGGGGGGTTTTGTCCACTATAAGTTACTAAAGGGCTAGAATCACTGTCTCCTGCAGCTATAATCTCTGTGTGGCGAAGTGCCTGCTTGCCAACCTCCTGCCTCAGGACTATGGGCCCTGCAAAATACACTTTAAAAGACTCATGTTCATGTGCTTGTTAAGCCCAACTGACACCTTGTAATGAGTTCTACTGCAGTGTCCTAATCATTTGTCTGGGTGGCCTGCATTTTGTATGACTGACCACAAAGTGGTGACCATCTTGTTCCCGCAAACGCAAGCAGTGGTGTTTGGTCGTCGAGCTCATGGAACTGAAATCCAACATTGAAACTCCCGAACACCGCTGGACTTCCATCATCGCTTGCATTCGGTTCTACACAACTTAGAAGAGCACTGTTCGGTGGAATCGTTCCCACGAACAAGGTAAACAAGATACACATGTTAACTATGGATTCCATTCAGTATTTTGTTCTCTTCTGTACTCCAGAAAGAGACAGACTGTTAGCACTTTCATGGAACAGTTTTGGTCATAGGACCATGTGTGCTGTCAGTCAAATTATGACTTCCATTGAAAACCCGAACCTTTGAACCGATCTGGGTGATTCTTGGATATGTTGGTCACCCACATCGGGGCTAGCAGGGGATGTGACTTTTGTGGGGTTTTCATGTGTTTTGGGGGTACTTTTGGGGTGTTGGTGAATTGTATGTTTTTCTGTGCCTGGAGATAATTGAGTTTGTACAGTTCCTGACTCAATTATCTCTCAGGCTCAGGGGAGGAGTTTGTGACTTGTATACATTCTGTAACTGTGCTGCCATTAAACAGACTACTTCCCAGCATTAAACCTTGGTTCATGCGTGTGTGTGTGTGTGGGAGGAGGCGGTTGTGGGAATTGCTATACTGCTCTTTGGATTATTACACCTTTATCTACTGTTATTCTACACTTTTTTTCAGGGGAGTCATTTGATACTGAGAATAGCAGGTAAAAATAGTTCTGTCCGCACTTTATTTAAATTCAGTTTCACCGGGCAGAAAGCATTTTTGTAGTTGATACAGTTTGTAGAAACCATCCTCCCATGACACTTGCAAAGTCAAGGAATGCAAGGAAGAGTTCTGAAGGGTTGGTATGATAGGTTACAATTAGAAAATGTATTGTTGTAGTCAAATATTCTTTATTCCATTGCCACTAAAGGGGTTAATAAGGTTTGTGATTCACGATTTAGAGCATGCATAAAAACGTTGACTTTTTAGCATTTAAAATTCAAGCAATGGATTTCTGAGGAGACGTAGGAAATACCCCAAAAATGTATCCATCTCCGTCATGTCACTTGCGCAAACTGCCGAATAGAGAATGGTGCAGCGGTTTCTCGAGATGACCGTCATTGTGAGATTCTCATAGTGGCCATAATTTTGAGATTCTTGTAAGATTCTCATTGTGACCATCATTGTGAGATTCTCCTAGTGACCGTTATTGTGAGATTCTCATAGTGACAGCCAAGTGTCTGGAACCAAAATCGGACACTAGGGGAACAAACTCTACCAATGAGCCAGGGGAACCATCCATGGATTTATTAGTTTTTTTGTACTTTTCAAAATAGACTGACTGCACAGCCCAATTTCATGAAACTAATTCTGGACAGGAGCATTGTGTGCAGTCGGTCAAATTAAGACCTCCAAATAACTTGTGACCATCATTGTGAGATTAATTGTGAGATTTGCATAGTGACTGTCATTGTGAGATTCTCGATGTGACCATCACTGTGAGATTCTTATAGTGACCGTCATTGTGAGATTCTCATAGTGACTGTCATTGTGAGATACTTATAGTGACCGTCAGTCGTTATTGAACACAGTGGATGATTTCCAGAAATAAGGATATAATAAATGATAAATCCGACTTTGTTAGCATAACCCACCAAAACTCCAGAGCGATTACATATTATCGCTGTGCATGAAATGTTTACAAAGCTGCAATTGTTATGGACGCAGCCTCCATTTGCAAAAAGTTTTAACGTGAGATTGTGTTTTTCCAAGCATTGAACACACAATGACTTACGGTCACACTGGAACACAGCGATGGTGGACGCGGTATTAACATTATTTAACCCCTTAAGGACCAAACATCTGGAATAAACGGGAATCATGACATGGGGTTAAGGAAATGTCTCTAAAAGAATCGCTATAACGTAATAAGAAAATTAAACCACTAGCTAGACATTAATCACTTTCAAATCATTATAAAAAAAAACATATCAGTGAGGTTTGTTGATCGACAGAAATATTAAACTAATGTGACAGAATCACTGCTATGCCATTTTAAAACCATTTTTCTTTATAATCGCGTATTATACTATTCTTCTCAGAGGGCGCCCAGTGACAAGCTGAACGATGACAAACTAACGCTGCGTTGGATACGCCTCCCTCGTACCTTGACAAAGGCTAATAGAGCCGAAGCATTAGGGGACTTTGGTGACGCTCTTTCACAGTGAGTGCCTGGAACTCTGAGGCGGACACTCCACAGCCTGAACACTGGTGAAATTATACGAACGCCTGCTTCAGTTCGCGGTAAGCCAGGAGAGCACTTTTCGGCAGGTTTGTTCTACTGGATCTCCTGACCAAACACTGCCCATGATCCAGGGGACCCGTTCACCTTTTTTAGCAGTTCACCTTTTTATTAGAGTAATAAGTCTCCAACTAGACCGACCGCTACCTGTAAAACTATGGAACTATTATGGCCAAGCATTTCAAGATCTTCACCTCAGTGGTGATTCGACTATGTGCAAGAGAAAATGGCGGCCATCTAGTTTGCATGAAAGGAGGCAGCGGTACTTGGTCGCCAAGTGTCTGGAACCAAAATCGGACACTAGGGGAACAAACTCTACCTATGAGCCAGGGGAACCATCCATGGATTTATTAGTTTTTTTGTACTTTTCAAAATAGACTGACCGCACAGCCCAATTTCATGGAATTAATTCTGGACAGGAGCATTGTGTGCAGTCGGTCAAATTAAGACCTCCATATAACTTTTGAACCCCTGAACCGATCTGGGTGATTTTTGTATTTGTTGGTCGCCCAGATTGGGGCTATCAGGGGTTCAGCCCTGTCTTTTATGGGGTTCTCATGGAGTTTGGGGTACTTCCTAAGTTTTATGGAAATTTATGATTTTTGTGTTTGGAGATAATTGAGTTTAGTAAATTGCTTGACCCAATTATCTCCCCAGTACAGGGGAAATATTACATTGCTGTATGCATGAGTGTCCTGGACCTGAGAGCCAATGTACTTGCAGAATGTATTTTGTCACTCTCCCCTCTCAGGTCCAGTGGGGAATATGTCAACTGAAACCCTGTACATTGTTCACTGCATAAAAGCCAGGCAGTTAGCCTGAATAAAGCAATCCTGTTATACCCTTCATTTAGTTTAGGCTCATGTTTGGGTACCTGTCTATTTTGCTGGGAGAATATACTTGGATGCTATAATTGTCTGGAGAAGCGTTCGAATCAACACCTGAACTGCGAGCTATAATCACTCAGGCTCTAGCAGTTCGGGAGAAAATAGGCAAACAGGTACATGCAATACCAGTATTCATTACACCATGATTCTATGAATGAAATCAGCTGAAAATCATGGGAGTTGTAGTTCAGCAACATCTGGAGGGCCAGAGTTTGGGGAAGCCTGCCATATGTCATCGTGTTTTGTTAGACTGTGAACTTGTTTGTGCACTGTTTCCATATGTCATTGTGTTTTGTTAAACTGTGAGTTTGTATGGGCACTGTTCCCATACGTCATCGTGTTTTGTTTGACTGTGAGCTTGTTTGGGCACTGTTTCAATACGTCATCGTGTTTTGTTAGACTGTGAGCTTGTTTGGGCACTGTTCCCATACGTCATCGTGTTTTGTTAGACTGTGAGCTTGTTTGGGCACTGTTCCCATATGTCATCGTGTTTTGTTAGACTGTGAGCTTGTTTGGGCACTGTTCCCATCTGTCGTCGTGTTTTGTTTGACTGTGAGCTTGTTTGAGCACTGTTCCCATATGTCATTGTGTTTTGTTAGATTGTGAGCTTGTTTGGGCACTGTTCCCATCTGTCGTCGTGTTTTGTTAGATTGTGAGCTTGTTTGAGCACTGTTCCCATCTGTCGTCGTGTTTTGTTAGACTGTGAGCTTGTTTGAGCACTGTTCCCATATGTCATCGTGTTTTGTTAGACTGTGAGTTTGTTTGGGCACTGTTCCTATATGTCATCGTGTTTTGTTAGACTGTGAGCTTGTTTGAGCACTGTTCCCATATGTCATCGTGTTTTGTTAGACTGTGAGCTTGTTTGGGCACTGTTCCCATCTGTCGTCGTGTTTTGTTTGACTGTGAGCTTGTTTGAGCACTGTTCCCATATGTCATTGTGTTTTGTTAGATTGTGAGCTTGTTTGGGCACTGTTCCCATCTGTCGTCGTGTTTTGTTAGATTGTGAGCTTGTTTGAGCACTGTTCCCATCTGTCGTCGTGTTTTGTTAGACTGTGAGCTTGTTTGAGCACTGTTCCCATATGTCATCGTGTTTTGTTAGACTGTGAGTTTGTTTGGGCACTGTTCCTATATGTCATCGTGTTTTGTTAGACTGTGAGCTTGTTTGAGCACTGTTCCCATATGTCATCGTGTTTTGTTAGACTGTGAGCTTGTTTGGGCACTGTTCCCATCTGTCGTCGTGTTTTGTTTGACTGTGAGCTTGTTTGAGCACTGTTCCCATATGTCATTGTGTTTTGTTAGATTGTGAGCTTGTTTGGGCACAGTTCCCATCTGTCGTCGTGTTTTGTTAGACTGTGAGCTTGTTTGAGCACTGTTCCCATATGTCATCGTGTTTTGTTAGACTGTGAGCTTGTTTGAGCACTGTTCCCATATGTCATCGTGTTTTGTTAGATTGTGAGCTTGTTTGAGCACTGTTCCCATCTGTTGTCGTGTTTTGTTAGACTGTGAGCTTGTTTGAGCACTGTTCCTATATGTCATCGTGTTTTGTTAGACTGTGAGTTTGTTTGGGCACTGTTCCTATATGTCATTGTGTTTTGTTAGACTGTAAGCTTGTTTGGGCACTGTTCCCATATGTCATCGTGTTTTGTTAGACTGTGAGCTTGTTTGAGCATTGTTCCCATATGTCATCGTGTTTTGTTAGATTGTGAGCTTGTTTGAGCACTGTTCCCATCTGTTGTCGTGTTTTGTTAGACTGTGAGCTTGTTTGAGCACTGTTCCCATATGTCATTGTGTTTTGTTAGACTGTGAGTTTGTTTGGGCACTGTTCCCATATGTCATCGTGTTTTGTTAGACTGTAAGCTTGTTTGGGCAGAGCCCTCTTCACCCACTGTTCCTGTTTGCCATTGTGTTTGTTAGATTTACATGTTTGTCATGTTTCCTGTTGTACAGCGCTGTGGAATAGGTTGATGCTGTATAAATAATTGATGGTGTTCGGAGGCAAGATGTCTTTGTGTTCCCTTCAGGGTTCATTGAAAGGTTCTGGCGCATTCTATTAAAGTTTTCTGTCCTTCCATTCAGGGATCGGAAAGCGTGCAATGCAAAATAAAAGCCCAAAGCCTTTATAAAATGTATTGATTAGGTAATCCTACCATCCGCCATTCTGTGCTGGCATAACAGAAGGCAGAGGATTAGGCCCGAATATTCCACTATTCAGTGCATGTTTCATGCCTGGCATTGAATGGGTTAACCCTATTTGTGCCAGGAGAGCTAAGCAGCCCTCGCCGACCTCTGGCACTTAGCGAATAATAATTGCAAACAGATTTGCTGGCTCGATTTGCACAGTTTTGAAGATTAAGTCACAGTATTGTTGCTCCAGAACCAGCTGCTCCCAGATAGAGTTATGCAATAAATAGATGTTTAAAAAAATCACCTTTAAGCAACTGGTACTGGAGGACATGTGTCTGAGGAATGCGTGATATATGTTACTGCGCGATCCAGCTCATTCCTTCTCCTAGAGCTGATGTGTAGGATGGGGCTGTAGTTTATATAACATATAACACAGCCGTAAAGCAGATCTATAACGTGCTCTCTGTGTCAGCCACTCCCAGAGCAGCCACACTCCATCATCTTCATAAATGTGTCAGCAAACGGCCCCAAAGGACAGCCCTGAGCTTTCTACTCCACTGGCTTCTAACAGGAAAACAAGCCCCGGGCTCGGGCTTGCAAACGCCTTTACCCAACGGGGCACAGTGGAAATCTCAGCCAGTGATTGGCTCTAACGTTAAACTAAATGTTTAGTGGCTTTTTTTCTCTATTGCCCCATCACAAAAACACAGTAAGTCCACAGAGGACACATCGTTTCATAGTTAAAGCTTTAATTAAAACACACTCTGCATCTTTTGTCATATTTTTAGTTTTTTTTGCTTTCCTTAGAAAGATCTTCAGGAGTTAATTTGTGTGTTTATTATTTTAAGGCAAAAGCAAAATGAAAAGCTGGTTATTTGTTACATTTATTGAATCTTTTTGACAAAATTCTTTATTTTACTTTGAGGTCCTGAAGATCACTTTATTCCCTGAGACCAATCGTGTACCCCGCGCCCTGACTGATTGACAGGTTAAATATGATCCCCATTAATCTAGGGGGGACAAGCTCAGTTGTTATTATAATATAAGTTTCTGGCTGAGGAGGGGTTAATAGTCCTTATTATCACAGCTTCATTTTATGATGCCATTTTACCTTGTGCAAGAAGAAATGATTTAAAAAATAAATGATGTCTTAAATCAAGCAGCTTCTTGTAGCTTTCATTGCAATTGCGATGCTACGTGTATGACACAGGATTGCACGTAATACACAATTTATTTATTTTTAGTTGTCATTATGGTGCCACGAAACTCTGAGAGGCAACGTTCTAAATATTGCAGAGGATTGGAATTGCCATCTCCACGTAATTCAGAATGCTGCCTTGTCCGCTCAGCTCTCCTCTGTATTCTGAACACAGTGTCCTCTCAGTTCTCTGCACTATTTAGAACTCTGCCGTGTCCGCTTAGTTATCCTCCCTATTCAGAATGCTGCATTGTCCGTTCAGTTCTCCTCGCTATTCAGAACGCTGCCGTGTCCGCTCAGTTCTCCTCGCTATTCAGAATGCTGCCGTGTCCTCTCAGTTCTCCTCGCTATTCAGAACGCTGCCGTGTCCGCTCAGCTCTCCTCGGTATTCTGAACACTGCTGTGTCCTCTCAGTTCTCTGCACCATTTTGAACTCTGTCGTGTCCTCTCAGTTCTCCTTGCTATTCAGAACGCTACCGTGTCCTCTCAGTTCTCTGCACTATTTAGAACTCTGCCGTGTCCACTTAGTTATCCTCACTATTTATAATGCTGCCATGTCCATTCAGTTCTCCTCGCTATTCAGAATGCTGCCATGTCCTCTTAGCTCTCCTCACTATTCAGAACGCTGCCGTGTCCTCTCAGTTCTCCTCGCTATTCAGAACGCTGCCGTGTCCTCTCAGCTCTCCTCCCTATTCAGAACGCTGCCGTGTCCTCTCAGTTCTCCTCGCTATTCAGAACGCTGCCGTGTCCTCTCAGTTCTCCTCGCTAATCAGAACGCTGCCGTGTCCTCTCAGTTCTCTGCGTTATTTAGAATGCTGCCGTGTCCTCTCAGTTCTCCTCACTATTCAGAATGCTGCCGTGTCCTCTCAGTTCTCCTCGCTATTCAGAATGCTGCCGTGTCCTCTCAGTTCTCTGCGTTATTCAGAATGCTGCCGTGTCCTCTCAGTTCTCTGCGTTATTCAGAATGCTGACTTGTCCTCTCAGTTCTCCTCGCTATTTAGAACGCTGCCGTGTCCTCTCAGTTCTCCTCGCTATTCAGAACGCTGCCGTGTCCTCTCAGTTCTCTGCACTATTTAGAACTCTGCCGTGTCCGCTTAGTTATCCTCACTATTTAGAATGCTGCCATGTCTGTTCAGTTTTCCTCGCTATTCAGAACACTGCTGTTTCCTCTCAGTTCTCTGCACTATTTAGAACTCTGCCGTGTCCTCTCAGTTCTCCTCGCTATTCAGAACGCTACCGTGTCCTCTCAGTTCTCTGCACTATTTAGAACTCGGCCGTGTCTGCTTAGTTATCCTCACTATTTAGAATGCTACCATTCTACCTGTAAATTTCATTTCTTACGCCTCCAGCAGCACAATCATACAACTTAAACCAATTAAAACCAAGTAACATATTCCGTATAAAGCACTGACAGTCATAGCTCCTCCTCTTTCTTTGCTGCTCCTGCTGTGCATAAGTCAGAGTATTTTATTCTTGTGATATTTTACCTGATATAGTTCTTACTATTGATACTAGGATGTGTAACTGTCTATTCCTCCCTCACTTGCGCATTGCGGCCGATGCACTAGGGTGAGCCCCTGGTAGGACTGTATATCTACTGAGGCAATACCAATAGGGGTTCCCCCCTCCCCCTTACTACTAGGGTAACCCCTCCACTCGCATATGTGCATTCTCCACTAAATTATTACACACATTGCGATAGGGGTGACTCCTCTACAGGACCCCCTGTGCATTATAAGCCCTCTGCGGCAAGATCATAGGGATGACCCCTCTTAATTGGTACCAGATTTATGTCGCATGACACAAATCACCTCCATGGTGCAACTGAAGTGAACCATTTCTAATTCCAAAGCATACCGATCACATGATTACTGAGACATCTCACGTCTCCTGTAGCGGATCACCTGGCACCCCGACTGGGTACCTCTGCCAAAGGACCGCTTCCTAGCTGGAACAGGGGACAAACCGCAGCACTTCTGCCCACAGTCGCCGTGGCTGGACTGGGGCCCTGGAACCGCTCCTTCCTGGAGCCAAATGGGGAATTAGCTCTTGTCCTTACAAGGACTTTCCCAATTGAATCTTCTGCAGGCTGGAACAGCAGACACAGGAGTAAGTATTCTTTCCCTCCAATAACAGGATGACACACAGTTTTGGAGTGTAAGCAGGAACAGGCAGTTTAATGGAACACACTGGCTTTTATACAGTTTTTCCCCACACGGTTACCATCCACGTGGACCTTGTGGAGCAGAGGACACAAAGTCACAAAACCAATCAAAACTGTTAGACTCTTAGACACTCCCAGATGATGTACACAAACTCTCCCCTCTGCTTGGGAGATAACTGAGTAACATACTGTAATTAACTCAATTATCCCCAAGCACAAAACACAGAAAAACACCCTAAAACATCACATACCCCCTGAAAAGCCCTGGTCAGGGTGAACAACATATCCCCAAATCACCCAGATCAGAGCAGGGGTTGAAGATATTCCTGGAAGTCTTTGACTGACAGCATGCACATTTTCATGCCCAAAACAGTTCCAGAGAATCAGGCTGTGTGGCCAGTCTATTTCCAACTCTAAGTTCCGTTCGGATGGTTCGTGCCAATAGTCAATGTTAACGTGGCGTTTGAATTGACGAACACTGTTCGACTCCAGTCGAAGTGTGGAAGTTCTGCAGAAGGTAAAGTTCAGCGGTGTTCGTCACGTGTCCAATTTGAGTTCTATGGACTCAACGATAAAACATTGCTGAACACGTTCGTCTAAACAAGATGACTGCCGCCACGTGTTCGAATGTCGAATGGTGGCTGTATCCGAAGTGCCACTTTGAACGTGTAAAACTGTTCCAATATAATTTAAAGTGGAAGAAACAGTGTTTTAAAATCCAATATGCCCAAATAGTGTTTTTAAAGAGCAATACATCCCAGGGGCCATAGTCACAGGGCAAGAGGCTGGCAAGCAGGTCTCTCCAAAAACTCGTGGCAAATTCAGCTAAAAAGGGGTTTGTCACATCTCCCAGTTCTACTGGGAAAAAACTCCATGTCGAATTTGAACACTAAGCCCGGTCACTTAGAGGGTGACCCCCTGTTCTGGCTAACTGCCAGTGCATACCTCACTAACATTGACATTTGATTATCAAATTCCCTAGGCGAACCCCAGTTGTACTTGGAGACTCTTACTGTGTTCAAACATGTGTACTTCTGTACCTGAACCAACGCTGTCTTCCACAGACTTAAAGGTATGAATACTTTATCATCATGACTCACCTCTGTGGTGTATTACCAAACTCTATAAATTATTATGTACGCATACACATATAAACTCTGGTCCGTCTACTTTAACAAATATTTATTCAGAGACAAAACAACAACAACATACAAATAATGACACACAATCTAACTAACTATACCACCAACAACAGCAACAACAACCTAACTAACAATAACAACTACATCTTGTAAAATCCCACTCACAGTTCACCATGATATAAATAAGGCCATGTCTGCTTAAAGGACTGCTCAGTAGCACAGCCAAGAAGGAACAGGGAGGAATGGAGATAGGGGGAAGTGGTTATCTCTTTCCTGACTAGTAAAGGTATTGAATTACCAATTAACATTTCAAAAGGGTAAAGCTTATCCCACTGTAAGAAAGGCATACATGAGCTTGGTCACATGATCCCTGGTCACCATATTAGTTTGATGACAGAATGTCACCACATTCCCTCACTTTTTTTTCTCTTATGTTGAGCACATTTAAAAGTGAGAGAATATAGTCAAACAGGGGTTGCATCACCCCACATTCCCCCAATTTCAATTGTTTTCAGTTGTTCCGTTTTTAAATTAACCACTGCCCAAGTGGGTTGGTAAGAACCCTGGTAGTTGTTCATTAATATTATATGGTAATGTGTTCATGTGAAGTAGTAATATCTAGACGCAATCAACCCCATACAGTAATTATCACTAGTTTATGACACAATATGATGTTTAATTTCGCCTGGGACTGGAATCTGAAGACTGTGACTGATCTGTGTGCTTGATAGCTGTGATTTTAGAATGAACTCTCCTTGAATATTGTCTTTGCCAATCCATTACAAAGCTTGAGGTTTGTAGGTTTAATGACACATGCAAGTTCATGAGTGTAGGGTAAACTCATTCTGTGACCACCTTGAAATGACACAAATTCCTGCTTCTTGCTGTTACTTTACCCTCATTCTGGGCTGTGTTAATAGTTTGACTTGGTAATCTCAGCACTTCTTCATCTGTATAGTATCCATTTTCAGGATAATAGTTTGACGTGTAATCCCAGCACCTCTTCATCTGAATAGTAATCATTTTCAGGATAATAGTTTGTCTTGGTAATCCCAGCACTTCTTCATCTGTATAGTAACCTGTGACAGGACATGTCAGTTACCTTCGCCTCTCTGGGCCTTCCAATTAAAATGTTCTTTGAATCAAACACAGACAATGAAATATGTACAACAGTAATCAGCATATTGTCTTGTGTCAAAGGCTTAACTAGTTTTGTCTAATAAAATCTATTTGGTTGTGGTGTCTTAAGGCTATGTTTACATTTTAGAGGTATTTAAAAGACCCACAAATGTCTCCTGAAATTTTGATTAATTTAGACATTTACTCCACACCTGATGGAGAGTTGAACACAAAACCATATTAGTTATTTTATAATTTACTGATGAATACATGCAATAATCACAAAATGTACATAGTTTAAACCGTAAATTATTATACATGAATGTGAGTGGGAAAGATCTAAGGGTGAAAAATGTATTCGCAATTGAACGTAGGTGCAAATTCTCATACCCATAACTATTTAACCCCCTGCGGATAGCCAAATAGAACAAATAGCATACATTTTCACTTTATTATTTATGCCATCTTCACTCAAAGCAATCTAATTTCCCTATATTCTTAATGACAAAAAAAAAACAAAGCATCAAAGATGGAGAGAGAAGAAAAAAAAAGTAGATTGAATGCTACCATTACACAGTTTGGCAGCGTGCAATCTATAGAAAACTGTCTGTTGCTATTCAAAAATCAAAATCAAAAATCAACTTGAGGTTATATTTGTTGGGAACCAAATTTAAAAAAAAAATGCTTTTAAAGTTTTTACTGTTGTAAACCAACAGAAAGTTACACTATCACATCTCTCCAGTGTGATCAAATATAAGCCTCACGTTGGCAACAATTCACTTAATCTATGAATTTATAATTATTAATCCAGCATCAAAAAATAAAACATAGCTGGCAGTGCAGGCGTGCTAAACTAATAAAAACAAAAATTATTTGGAATTTGGCCCACCTGACTGTAATGAATGAATTTAGAGGCTTATCCTTAGTATGACTAAAAAATATATATATATATATATATATATATATATAACAATACATACTAAGGTCCTCTTTAAACTGGAGTGTTA